CCCCAAAACCCCAAAACCCCGTAATTCGAATCTATATAATTATAGAATGATAGAAAAATTATTAAATTAAAATTTTCTATTAATACTAGGCTAAATATATTAATGCCATTTATAGTCAGCTTTAATAAACTCCTCAATAATAATCGTCAAATAATTATAAATTTTATGCTATTTCCTGTTGAGGTTCTATTCCCTAAAAGCTTTATATTACTTAAAGATCTTATTTCCCTTAATCTTATAACACTTATCGGCATATAGCACATCCAAGGGCATATTCCTAGCCATTGGCAGGATGCTTGCCTTTTAAAGGACATTTTTAATCACCAATACAATCTTTAACTACATTATTTCCAGCTCTTTCATGACATTGATTACAAAAGTGAGTAGTTCCAAAGCAGAACCATGAAGATAGGTCGCAACAATATTTACATTTGAACTCTATAAATTCTACACCATGCGTATCGCAAATATTTTTGCCAAAGCCAAATTTCATAGCAGTGCAAAAATTGCACATTATGTCTTCTGGATTCGGTGCTTAAAGTTAATTCGCCTGGACAGCACAGTCCCTAACTCCACCAAAGAAAGGATCTTTGCATTAATAGCATTCGAAAAACTGATATCTTGAAATTGCAAGTGCTTAAATATTATTATAGTACATACTCTGCGGTTCTGTGAATAATGAATCTTAATCTAATTTATCAATCTTAATCCTTTGCTGGATTAACTAATTAACCTTTTCTCTATACTCTCTACTCAAGGTGATTAAATCATGTAATTCTTTATAATCAGATTTAGTTATTTCTTTCTTGCATGAAGGGCATTAAAGATAATTAAAGTTAATCCCGTTGATTGATCCTTCCCATCTCAACTTTACCCTCTAGATTGTACAATCTAGGTGAAAAATATGTTTGCACTCTAACTATATGCATTATTTTGAGTCTAGTTATTCTACATAGCATATTGTACAGTAATCATTTCCAGTGCAATCTAGAGTTTTGCTTGGATCTTTCTTCACACAATCTTCCTTCAAGCAAGGAGGACAATTAACTTCATCTTTAAATCCACAGCAGGGATGCTTACAATCTTCGTTGATTTTATCACAAGATTTTTCCATCATTTCTTTGCATTCCTCTTTCCTGCAAACTTCTTAAAACGCTGGCAAAGGAGAAACTGAAGGGTACGTCAGCTACTCAAAACAGTATCTACATTTACTTGAAAACTTGAATTTCTCGAACTCTTCACAAGTTTTCCCAATGTGATAAGGTTCTTAATTGCAACTAAAGCAAAAAATATTTTCACAATCCCTACATCTAACCCTGAACTTACTCATGTGGATTGCTGATTCCCTATATAATTATCATTAAAATTGGTTTGCTTACTGTGATATTGGTTGTCCAAAGATATCTTTTTAAAATAGATCAATATCACCTTATTCCACGATCATCATGTTTCCACATTTGCACCTTGCAATACTATCTAATCCTTATAGCAATTCTTTAAGTTATTTTAGTTCTTCTTCTCTCTATAATTTCTTTTCTATTTCAATAAACTCTTATTCTTTTTCTGAACTAAAAATCTCATCTATTTCTTCTTGATCAATCTTCACTTTGCAAGTAGGACAGCAAGGCTCATTAATTTTAAATTTCGATTTCCTATTATAACTTAAATAAACTCAATGGTAATTTACTGGGTTGAGATGCTTCTTAAGCATTCTCTATGTATCATATGCTTGCATTTAGTTGACTGGATAGTTAACCATTTATGATTGTCTTTTTCTTTTTCAGTAAATTTCAAGCATTTCGCACAAATTTTATAAATTATTTAACTCTAATTCTCCTCTTTCATTGAAAACTTTTTTATCTAAAATATTTATCAGTCTGTTTCCTTAAATTTTGGAGTTTCTATATTAGCAGAATTGCATGAACTTAGACTTAGAATAGAGTTACTCGACATCTCTTGAATAAATAATGGAATCAGAGGAATTATACTCTATATTTTATGCTAAGTATTCATCTTTGTTTCTCCTTCTGCACTTACTTCAATATCATCCTCATAATCATCTTCAAAATCTTCGGTATTACTTTTACTTTCCTGCTGTTTATTATTTCTGATCTATGAAAAGTGAAGTTTCTGATTAAAAAATTCTATATTATCATCTTCATCATACTTTTTTTCTTCTTTAAGATAATTTTCCTAAAGCTAATTTTGAAATACAGTCAATAGTAACTTGATATTTTGAATTTCCTGCTTAGATGTGTACTTCCTGATTATGCTTTCAAACATGTTAAATATATCAGAATACTTTTCCTTCACTTTTTAGCAAATATTTTAATGGAATTTAATACTTGTAGCATCTAGCATTACTTAGCCGCAATCACATATAAAACTGACAATATTTTGTATCTATGCCATTGTTAATTGATAATTGTCATCCCATTGCTCAAATTTCATCTCACTTTATTTATTATCGGTTTCAAAATATTCTTCGTTCATTGCTTTACTTTATCTTCAAAAAATTAATCTTTTATTCACTTTAATTTGTACTGTTACTATTTATATATTTCTTAACTCTATTATATTTCTAATTCTTAACTTATGGGGTTTTGGGGTTTTGGGGTTTTGGGGTTTTGGGG